GAGTAAGGTCACATTAGTTTTCAAATTGCAGCTATTATTTAACTTTTATCACAAGCGCCAGCCCAACCGAGCATCATTTATTTGCAGATTTTGTTCAATTACTGACAAAATGAAGCCTAAAGGAACCTTTTCAAGACTTAAGTAAAATTTGCACTCTTGATTTATGTCTAAGATTGTTTTTACGTGTGAGTGTATTGCTTACAACAAAGACGAATGTGCGCCCACTGTGTGCTGATTACGGTGCCTATTCTGCTATCAGAGAAAAACTTTTGATGACACTTTTATTGATGTATGCTAACCTACATACATGAATAAACTTTTAAAAGCTAAGCGGATTTCTTCTTCTTCTTAGATGTGGGTTAGTATAAACATTTGATACACCTTCTATGTACAATTGTAATTTTCGGAATCCATATGTACCATAGGATCTACAGAGAAATGCAGAATATAAGCAGATTACGGTAACGATAGAAATTATTCGATCCTTACGCATTTCAGATCAAATATTAAACCTAAACACAAAATCACAAATATGAATTCGGATATACGCATAAAATTATGGTAAGAATAGTTGATAAATGATTGTTATAAGCATTATCTAAAGGTTCCGAAAATAGAAATAAGGTTGGATGAAAATAGAGTTTGATAGCCCTATGCTGCGTTTGCCCTTGATATCCAAATATCAGCTTGAAAACTTGTACACTCCATTGTAAAACTGATTATAGTCTTTTACAGAATATCGCAGCATAGATTGGAATGAACAAAACGAGAAGAAACACTGCTCAATATTCAACAAGTGGGGCCTCAGATAAAATATTCATGACCTGTTCCTCATCATTATGATTGTCATGATGACCTATGCGATTGCATTGTCACAGTAGCAACTTTAGCATATTACATAGCGTAGTTCCTCCGCGGATATTCAGTGACATCGGAGATTAAAAAGCATTTATATATTGCATCCGCATGCATGTTTATGTTACAAATTAATTTACTTAGGGGATGTTAAACAGAATTATGCCTACACACGATATTGCAGGATGGTGCGGAAGGTCTTATTCATTTAAGAACTCTAAATGTGGGTGAAGTGATAGTCACTCTTTCTCAGATACGAATAGTTGTTAGAAAACACGTAGAGATTTGGAAATTAGCGACAAAATTGCTAGAGGGCACGGGAG